ACGTATCACACAGCTGTCCTTTCAGTCTTTCAAAACGAAAGTTGGTGTTAGTAAATTGGCTAGGTGCTAGAAGTCGCGGTGATTTCTCTTTTTTTTTTAACCCCCCTCGGAAGCTCCCTTTCCTCCGCCCTTTTCTTCGATTCCTTCTGTGCCCTGCCGTGTCCACTTCCGAAACACTTCCTCCGTCTGCATGACAGCCAGGTAGCCACCAGGCGGCAGTGTTGCCCTGTAGGGCCCGCCCCCAGAAACTGAAACACCGTGTGTGTGCATGGGTGTTGCATATGCATAAGTAAAATGCAGATTGGCTCCTTGTATATTATTAATAACGGATAAAGATTTGTGTGGGATCAAACCTATGAGTGGAACACGACCTTTTGCTGACTTCTGAAGTGGGAGATCAGACAAAAGGTTTGGGAACCACTAAAAGAAAGTCCCCAAACCTTTTTTCTTTTTGGAGATGTGAACTAGTGTTATTATAGATTGACACCATTCTTAAAAGCTATAGGGGGCATTTGTCAGGGGACCGAGTTAAGATTTTGAGAACAGTTTGGGGTCCGTATTTCAATTAGAAACTGATGAGGAAAATAGATTTGGCAGGGTACTGACAACAGCCTGCCTTTGCTTTGATGAAAATCCGAAGAAAAATATCTGTTATACAGCCATTAAAAGCTCATTGGTTTAGTGACTCCTGGTCACCTCTCCCCCCCCCCTTGAGCAGGTGCTTTTGTTTGACTCGCTCTCATTCTCATTTTCCATCTTGGAAAATACCTCCCTCGTGTTACTGACGGCAACATTTCTCTATATCTCTTGCATGTGTGATAAACAGGAAGACGTACGAACGGTCGCAGGTATTCAGATACCTAAAATCACAAGCAATAATGGAAAACAAATATAACACTTCATGAAAGTAGCTGAGTCAAGCCTTTTGGCACAACTTCAGCCTGCTTGCAAGGTGCAAGGGGGAGAGGCGAAACTCTCAAGGAGCCAAAACTCAACGGCAACATCCTGGATGAAGACCACAGACAAATGTGTTGCACAAGCAATAAAAGTTGCTCTTCGTGCCACAAGTGTTGCAGACTTTTTGACCTTTAAAGACAGCTGACTAACGGACGCATTTAGCCCCCAGTACCAGTAAACGTATGACGCAAAACCTCCACATTCTTATTGTTTGAGCAAAAACTTTATTTTTATTATGAAAGTTGGGTTGTTTTTTTTTCTTGGAAGACAGACCACATAAAAAAAAGAGATTATTTTAAATCATTTTATTGGAATAATTAGGAGGCCTGAGAAGTAAAAAAACAAAACAACCCCCCCTCCCCAAACATTTAAACTGTACCCAACAGACAAAACACCTTTAACTGTTAAAAGTACAAACAAAATAGTTAATACTTTATGTATGACTAACACCTCAGTGCGTTATTAGTAATGCAAAGCCAACATCTATAGTGTAGTGGATCTGACTGTAACCTAACGATGATTAAGAAAGTGTAATAAGAATAAAAAATAACCAACACAGAGTAACTGGAGTGCTCTGATTTTGTTTTTCGATATTTTGTTAGACTTAAAAATCTAGATTGCTTTAAAAAATATATGTTGGCATCACTACTACGAAGAAGCCATACTACTAGACATTGTGCTCATCACCAGTTCCAGATTTTTTTTACTTTATTTTTTTAAAAAGGAGAAGGGAGGAGTGGGTGGAATTGTCAAATAGCACTGTGACATGTAATACGACCAAGACTCACATTCACCTGCACAAATCTGTGCTTCATTTCACAGTCACACACAACCTTCAACAGAACGACGAGCATAAAATTGATGTGAAGTTTAAAAAAAAAAAAAAAAACCCAAAAAGTGTTTATTGTTACTCAGTCACTAGGCAGCGCATCACTCAGAGAGGTCATAGCACTGGCCACAGACACGATGCAGGCAGAGACGAGACACACACAGAGCTAGGTAAAGGGTGAAGGTAATTTATACATCACCCCCATCAGCTTTGACGACTTAAAATGCAGGCTGCCGTCGTTTCCATCCTCGGTAAATGCTGAATGAATGCCTGGCTGGTGCACGTGAGGCACCGGTTCACATTGAATACACTTCTCCAGCCAACCGAAAGAATAAACATCCTCCCATCGAACCCTCCATCTCGACAACGAGACCATTAAAAAGACAGATCTAGAATGAGCTTTGCCCGGAACAGTTAATGCAGGGCAAGTTGTGCATGTGCAGACAGTATGGTCAGTTTTAAGGAAACAACACAAGCTCGTAATGCAGACACGAAAATGTTCAAGCGTGGCATCAAATTTCTTCATAAAAACCAAAAAAAAGATTATCTTAAAGGGAGCGTGGCTATATTACACTCTCCAAAAACAGAAGTAGTAGTGGTTGATCTTGAAATCCAACTCTAAATTAAACACCTGTTTCCATTACTTTGACCATATGCTGAAAAGAGGGGAAAAAAACAAAAAACAAAACAACCAAAAAACATGTAAACTCAGATTACAGTGAGGAAAACCACACATAAGAAAAAAATGCCTGACATAATTTGGGTTGCTCTCAAAGAGATTATTGTACCCAGATTAATTAACAAAACAAAACAAAACAAAACATTCTCTATTCTGATGTCCACAGTAACATTTGTCTTTTTCTTCCACCGTTCTCATCTAACATCAGATAAAGCTAATACAAAGAAAGGAAACATTTGATGGGGTCGCTGACCATCAAGACGAGCTTTGTTTAACATCTATGCATTTTCTCCTTTTGCACAGACCACAGCTTTAATTCTTCCATAGTTGCACAAACTTATTTGACGCACTGCAAATGACATACTGTCTGAATATGTCAGTTAAGACAGAGTAACCAGCAACTTTAGACAAACACAGGTAAATCGTCTCTCAGCCACCCATCCTGTGTCCCACATTTCATCCATTTCATTCACAGACCTCTTTTTGTCCCTTTGGCCAACCAGCAGTACTCAAACATCAGTTAGCCTCCACAGTAAGTCACTCTGGGATTTTGTTGCTTCACAAAGTCTCTCCTCAGCGCGTAGCTCCAGCAACAGCGGACACAGATGAGTTCCACTTCCTCTCTCCTTGTGAGTCACCTTTTCTTCAGAATTTCGGCACAGCACAACTCAGTGTGGAGCCATTGCATGAACTGGAAGTTAGCCACACACGATTAGGTAGCTGGTTAACCCCACTGCTCAGCAGTGATGGCAGCCTCAAGGGATTGCCTAATCTGGCTTGAATTACAATGTTATTATAAAAATAGAGACGTATGCACAGGCACACATATGCGCACACATACTTTAAGTCACCGTCACATTACACAGGCCTGTTTTTGGCTCCCTCATTCATTCTTCCACAGGTTTATCCACTACAACGTCTCCTTTAACAAAAACAACTGAAACTCAATGAACCTGACACAAGCCTGGAGAAGAAGAAAAACCCATTAGAAAGCCGTTAGTATGGAACGTGTCCACCCCATTATCCTTTATCAACAGCCCGAAACCTTCTCTGAGTTTAACACGCCCCACTAATAGATGGGACAACGGTAGGCTTCCTATTAAATAGAGTATGTGCAGTGAAGGGATTGTGAAACTGGGCATAGGATTGTGTAAACATACAGTGTAAACAGCTATTAAAAAGGAAAAAATTGATGTTTGACTATTACTGAGCAAAAAAGCACCTCACTGTTGTGTACACCACCATCACTCCGCTCGTGTTTTTGCAAAAACCGCAAAAGTCAGCCTGTGGCATACTGACATATACGGGATGTACAGCGGAAAATGTAAATCCCCGGTTTTTCCCAACTGAAACATACCAGTAACTACACGTAATTGCACTGCAGCTCTGTCTTTCATTTTATAAAGCAGTAGAAAAACGTGGTTGCAATGTCGCTTTGTACTACTTATAACCTCGGTGCTTATGCCATTTCCAAAAATTCTGAAGCCGGGCTTAGATACGAAGATGAGGGTCGAAAATAGAAAAACTAAAATTCACATGTACTTAAAAATATTCAAAATAAATGCAAAAAAAGACATTCAAATGTAACAGAAACAAAATGTTGCTGTGCAATCATCTACTACATGGTAATACTGTGAACTGCACCGTCCAGCCCAAGAGAAAAAAACAAAACAAAAACATAATAAACAAAGATTTAAAATAGACTCTGTATGGCTCCAGGTAGCTTTGAGTGTCTACTCTAAACCAGAGGAGATAAAATCATGTATCACAAGTTTCTGTTGCTCTCTTTCTTTGACTCTTTCACAGTTTCGAGTCTTTAGTGTTTATGTGTATGCTTGTGTCTGGTGGACAAACCATCGCCTTTCTGGGCGGATGTCAGGTGGCAGCGAGCAGACAGCACTGGAGGAAAAAGAGCAACTCTCATCTACCCGACCGTGAACGCGTCTTAGCTTAGATTCTGGGATTATCGTACCTCTGTGGAAAACAGACAAGACTCCTCTGATTAAAGTGAACCTCCCACTCAGCGCAGTTATACCACCGCATACTGAACAGTAATAAAAACTAGACACATTCAGGAAGTGTAGGAATTGTTTCTGCTGGAATTGATTGCGAATAAGAGCCCTTACGTTTGCAACGATGCAATCAAATATGTTTGTGTGTGTATGCGTGCACATGGTAAATATAAATAACCATGTGACTTCGAGCCAATGCAAGTGATTGAAGTGACCAACAATTTAAAGTGTGAAACAAGTAAGTAAAAATAAGTCTAAAGTCCAGTGAGTTAGTCTGACAAAGTGTGTTTGTTTGTGTGATCGCGTATCCACCTGAATAAAAAGATGGAAAACTTGCTTTCAAGCATGGGGGGTGGATAGTTCACCCAGTGAAAAGGAGGTGGGGGGGGGTCTGTCCTCCCCCCAAAAGACAACAACAACAACAACAAAAAAACCCAAAACAAAACCTGTCAGTCTGTCAGCAAGGAGAAGTCAAATGGCTTCAGTGAAGGTGCTGAACAGAAGACACCAAAAGCAAACGGGAGACATGAGCAGTGGTGCAGGTCCTTGTTCAGTAGTTAATAAATCCAAAACAGTCATTTTCATTCACACGGATTCGCATTCACTGTCAAATACAAACACACACACAGGGTACTCTGGTTAAGGCAGTGGTGGCAGGTGAGGCTGCAGTGAGGCCAGGGCAAAGAATCGGAGAATCGGTGGTCAGGGTTGATGGCAGTGAAAGCTCCCATTACTGAGTCAGCACTCCTTCCCCATCGTCCTCGTCTGTCTCCTCATCCCTCTCTCCTTTGCTCAGCCGCACTTCTAATCACAAGTCACTCAAATGACATCAGATTGGCTGGCACCTGTGAAAATAGTCAGATTTTACAAAATGCACGTGTTAATCAGCCTCATGCATGTCTGTGTGTGCATATTCGTGTCTTCATACCTGTTGCCTATTGCTCTGACAGGCAGCACTCAGATGTTTGTACCAGAGCAAAGCATTCATTCTGTTCCCTGCCTGGTACTTGTAGGTGTTACCTAGGCAATGGAAACAAACAGAGTGAGGTGCCAGGTCTTGTAACCACCTGCTCTCTCAACAAGCTGGAAAGATGGCTAAAAGCCTCACTTGACTTTGGTCTGCTCGATAAATTCAAAGCAAAGTCATGTGAAAAAAATCTATGACAAAGTCAGATGATTTGTGTGTGTAAATGCACATAATTAACACCTGTGTATGAACATTAAGGATGTCAAGTATGACTAATCTGCAGGGCTTAAAGTGACAGGTTATAGCAAAAACAAATAAACATTTTTCCTCCGCCCTTTAGAGATATGTACTAATCTGGATAATTTGGATGTCACCTGCTCAATTTTGCATAATGGCTTTGGAAAATTACTTCCTTCTCTTGAATATAATGAAGCTGGATGGCACTTGACTTACATGCACAGAAGATGCATCTAAAAAACTCTGCAGGTAAGTGCACTCTCAGAAATGTACAAACCTTTCTGTAAGCACTTTCAAGTGTTTAGTGCATGCAACTTTTCATGTGGGACTATTTTCTTCCAAACTACAAAACACGCTGAAAGCTTAACAGATGCAGCTCAGTCAACAAGCTGGACGGATGTAGTTTGGAAGAAAGAAATTTTCAAACTTGTTCTTTGAGGACTGCGAGGTGAATGCCTGTGTAAATGAATTGTCCCCTTTAGCTCACAGAGAGCCTCGCTGTTCAGCAACATTGTGGACACCACCCACATGTTTGCGTGCATTGGTGCAAAATTTTGATCAAAATGACTGAAGAAAAGAAAAATTGTTACCACCTGAATTTCACAATGAGATTATGACATTTCTTATCCTAGCTTTGGATCAGTTGGCAGGACATCTTGTATTCAATATAGTTAAGCAACTGTCATTACTGTATGAGTGTTATCTGATTATTTAGATTCCTTCAAGTTAAAATTTATAGTCATTCAGAGCATTACAGTCATTCAGTGCATGAAGGTGAGCAAGAATAACAGATAAAGACTCAGAAAGAAGAACTAGGCCCCTCATGAAAACGACAATAAAATTGACAAAAACAAACAGCTTAACAAAACACAAACTTCTTTTGGTCTGGTTTTTCACCTTTTGTATTGTGAGCATGAAGAGATGCCAAAAATAATAACTGACAAGCTTCAGCTTCAATTTAAACCTCCTGACCCACTTTACAATTTTAATGCATCCTTTTCACACACAGACTGTTCCTTGTATTAATCATTTCCTCTTTGCTTTCTCCCTCTCACGTGTTCAAGTCTCACCATGCTCAGAGTCGGTCAGCAAGAAGACGTCAGGGTGCTCAGGATCGTCAGCCATCATAGCCATCAGACCGACCACACACACGATCTTGCTGGACGTGGACTTGAACTGGTAAGAAGCAAAGCCAAAACATAATCAACCTTCTCTGTTTACACGCGGAAGAATTATTAACACAAGCATTGTGTGTATGTGTGTGAACTCCCAGCATTGCATTTGCACTCCACAAGGTTCTCATTAGCCTGAGTGACACACAGGACTGCGAGTGATGTCACTGGACTCATTATTCAATGAGTGCTACCATCTGTCCGTCTGTACCCCCGCTGCACCACGGTCCAAAAAACGTCCTTGCACACTCAAACTCACACTCCCTGCATTTCCTTCTGCTTCTCTGCCTCTTTTGAACTTCTGTAAAGTTTCAGTGAATGCTCTCAACCAACTGATGCTATACACCAAAACAAAGACACACTCACACACCCCAAGCCTACTTGTTTTTGAATAATGTCGTGTCGACATGACATGAAAAATTTACAGCTCTTTGTTTTCGTTTCCCTTTTCCCCTCCCTGTGCATACCAAGTACAAAGCACATGAAAAAGAATCATTAAGTGTTTTTTTCAGACTTTCAGACTAAAGTTTTTAAGACTGAGTAAGTAATGGCTATCATATGTCGTCTCCTTATAAAACAGAGTGTTTTGGGGTCGTTTGCTACGCCGACTCACTTCTATCAACACCTGCCGTTCGTACAGTGGACATCTAAGACGTTTGGACGTCTCAGTGTCGTTACATTACGTTCCATCTGTTGTCCTCACCTGCTCGAAGAAAACACCACCTCTATAGCACCTGTTGCAAAAACGCTGCCCATGCATGCGTCACCAGAGTGTTAAAGAGTGTGTATGTGTGTGTGCGCTTGTGTGTCTTACATGTTTTCTCTCAGTGGCCTTCAAGGATTTGGCAGGGTAGTAGTAGAGTTGGGTTCCACACAGAGCAACCCAGTATTTGGTCCAAGATGCCACCTAGAGGCACAAATTGAAATCTGATCACACACTCTGATTCAACCACATTAAGTCAATGAAAAACTACATAGAGTGACACTAACATGGTAACAGACTCTATATTCAAGCCACAGGCACGAAAGCAAATGACACTTATCATCTTTTACAATGTAATCTGATGCTTGCCATTCACACGGACTTAAACTAAGAAGCTAAAAAACTCTTATAAACTAATCACACCTCCAAAATGGCAACAGCCTCTGCTAGCTGGACAATACACAGGAATGGCTCAAGAAAAACGATACAGAGCCAAAGGCACTGACCCAACCAAGTCTCCAGATCCCAAATACTGGGAATGGACATTAGACTCGTGGAAATCTGTTTGGCCCAAGAGGTTACGATTTTAGACTTTTGGGTCCAGCTGTTAAGCTTTTTCTGAGATGCGGAGAAGGGGGAATGGATGGCATTTCCATGTGTGGTTCCCACTGTGAAGAACTGATGAGCAGCTTTGATGGTGTTGATAGGTGGGTTGGGGGCTTTTCTGGTGAGTCAAAACATACCTTTGGGCTTTGTAAGGGTTACATTCACCCACGAATGCCAAACTGGGATGAGATGGACTACAAAAGGAAAAGCAGCTGACAAGTGCTCAGCATATGTGGGAACTCCTTGAACAAGCATTTCAGGTGATGACCTCATGGCGCTGGTAAAGATGTTGCCAATATTGTGCAACGCTGTTATCAAAGCTAACAGAACCTTAAAATATAAAACATATTTGAATAAAAATTTTTTTTAAAAACCCTTTCTTGTGCTTGTGAAAGACTCAACATGCAATCTAAGGAGCTTGTTCTGCAAACTACAAGAAGACTTAAAATTAATAGAAACGAGATAAAGAGAAAACGCATGAAAGAAAATGGGATCAAGTGAAGCCATTAATTAACACGGCAGGTGTGGAGCGCCAGACTTTAAACCATCATCACTACCTATGACAGTCTTTAGTTATTTTAAGTTCATATAAAGCTCCACATTTATTTCCAGCCGAAACATAAGGGGGTAATCTCAGTGTCACAGGTTCGGGAGGGTGAGGTTAATGAGAAAACATGTGGAACAGACAGAGAAAGATATTCTGCAGGTTAAGAAGCCTCTGAGGTCCCATCTGTGATTGACAGTATATATGTCCCATGTGCTCCTGCTTAGGAGTACATGAAGGTATGGGCAGCACATGAAGCCACGTGCGCGTCTGCTTATCTAGACAAATGTGTGAGTGTGTATTCTCACAGTTGGTTTCTTGCCCTCCTTGAGCACAGTCTTTCGCCTTAACACTCCTTGCACTGTGACTGCTCCAGGGTACAAGTGAACTGCAAGTTCCTCTGACTCAGCTGAGCTGCAATGGGACAAAGACAAACATTACCCCTTAAATATAAAAACATGCATACAAGAAAAAGAACATGCATATTTCCATGCACACCATATAGATTTAGAGATAAACTAATAGTACAGCCAGATGCAATCTGCAAAGCTACCTTTACCCCTGCTTTCTGCCTAAGTAGCCCCCATTTTGTTTTGACAAAAATGAATTTCAAAGATATAAATCTCAACACTGCTATCACAAAAAAGAAGAGCAAAGACGGGAAAAGCGGTGTGCAGATTGTGTCTGTCTGGAGGATCAGAGTAGGAAGCTCAGTGCAGGAGTGTAGCGAAGCCTGGTTTTGGGGGGGGGACGGACAGGGACAGAGAGAGAGAGAGAATCCCTAACCGCAAGAGATGCCTAATATGCAATGTCCATGACAGCTGGACGTTAATGCTCCTGAATAGTCTGCTTCTCTTGACTATAGGAATGAGGATTTAACAGTTTCTTTCCAGCGACAGCACTGTGACTTTGGAAATTTGCTTTTACCTCCAAGCTGTGAAATACTTTGGAAACTAATCACAAAAAGAAGTCTATTTTGACTATAATCTCAGGATCTGGAAAGATGATATCTGAAGCATATGGTAATATAGATTTTTTTTTAAAGGTTTTAATAAGGTGCAGTAAGATTCATCCTCAGACTTCTTGACTGTTAAGTCAACGCTTGTAGCTTTAGCTGGCTGACGTGCAGACTCCAATACCTTGACTTCAACCTCAATAAGTCTGAGAATGAGACAGGCATGCAAGAAATTCGAGAAGGCAGCAAAAGATAAAGAACCATAAGAATCCTTTTCCCTTCACCAGATATGTGATTTCACCAGCACATACACTCTTATTTCAAACTACAAGATTACCCCAGCAGTACACACACTAAGCACCAGCACACAGCAGCCCCTGGCAGGGACTCAAGGGTGGAAAGTGAGGGCAAGAGAGGCTTTGGCTCAGATCAAGTTTGTTCCGGTCGAGATGGGTGTACCTGCTGGGCCTCAAGACGCCTTTGTAGGGGATGCGGGCCACACGGGTCACTGGGCCCAGAGAGTGATAGAACCGAGTCCTGTTCAGAATAGCATAAGATAGGATAGGACAAAATAGGGGGCACGGGATACTGTTAAGGCTGTGTGGCTCTCTTTTTCCCCCACTGTTTTTTTTTTTTTTTTTTGCCTTATTTAAATAGCATGGATTAGGGAAAGATGAGGAGCAGTTATTTGGTTAAAGCGCTATATAAATACAGGCCATTTACCATTTTAGAGGAGTTATCGATGGATGTGTTTTTTTGGGTTACTCAAAACTTTAAAAAAAAGGAACAGTGCTTTAAAAGAGGTTAAGATGATTTTCAAGCAAGTAGATTCTTCAGCTGAGCATTTTTTCTCCAGACACAGGTTGGCACGGGGGCTGCTAGACTTAAATGTTAAAGCAGTTAATACATTTCAGGCTGCTGGAGAAGCAGAAGCACCTTTACATCTTTGCTAAAGGCAAAGCGCAGCAGTGGACGGATGAGGCATGACTGCCATGGCTGCAAGGCTAAAAGCATGGCGCGTGTGAGAGGGTTTCAATGGCAGATCGTTTTGCATAAATGTGCCTTGAAGCCAGCGCTTTAAAATTTAGATGATCACATCCAGGCTGGGGATTTTTTTTTTCCTTCAATCTGATTTTTGCATGTGGTTATGATGAAAAAACAGTGAAGACATGGATGCATTAGCTTTACCTCTCAAAAGCTGGCCAAGACATCTCTTCGCTGAGCTCCGAGCCCTCACTGCTCCCTGTATACATATAAAAAACATCATAAAAACATCCACTGAACATAAAAACTCTACTTCATAACTGTAGAGGTGTAAGTTTTACCAAGTGAAATGCCACTGGACAGAGTCGAGCTCTCTGCTTGTCCCCTGGTAGGACTGTGGCTTTCCATCACGCTGTCATCCAACAGATGGCGAGAGCCAGCATTGGGAAATGTAGCACTTTTAAACTCTACTGTATTTGTCTTATGGATAAAGCTGTGGAGACACAACAAAGCAGACAGAGTAGCACCAGTGTGTATGTGCGTGTGTGTATATTTTTTAAACTATAGGACATACATATGAAAATTATTTCTTATAAAAGATTAACAATAGAAACTGACTTGTAGCCCAGACTGTGGCACTTCCTGTGTCCGTAGGGCAGAAGGTTCCTGGGGGATGGCGGTGTTGCTGGGACTTTGGTTCCGTCTGGTGCTACCGCACATTTACGTCCACAGAGAGGAGATGCTGACGCTTCCTGACCTGTAAACAGAGTAAAACCACAACAGAAGAATAGAGATGTCATGTTTATGGTGTGTACAGAAAAAAAACAAGTTAATTCTTTATTATTCTTATTATTTTAAAGAACTTTTAAATTCCACTTTAAGTGAAAAATGTAGGACATTGAAATGCACAGTGACATCGAAAACAATCTTTGCGAATAAAGACATTAATGACAGTATGACAATCAATCAATTAAAACATGTTACTTTTTAACAACATTGGACAAATGTGTCATTTAATTTGAAAATAAAACAAAAACTATCATTTTTGTTATAACTGATATACTAATGTGCAAATTTGAAACTACTTGGACATTCAGTTCAGATTAAGTGAGACTAAACTCACCGACAAGATCCTCTTTGGAGGCGTTGGCTCGTGGTGTGCTGGTGCCTGGCTCAATCTTCTGTGACAATCTAAAGAAAAAAAATGCAGCATAAATCAATTGAAAAAATCTATTTCAGTACCCTACAATACTCTTCTGTAAATTCATCATGATGAAAAGAAACAAGCAAGCAGTACAATTAACAGCACAAACATCTCTCTTTATCACCTTGGCAAGAAATCATAACTATAATGCAAAAGCTTTGTTTGTTTGCTTCTTACTTGTAATTGTCATCCTCCACAAACTTCTGCAACTCCTCAATATACCTGACTGAGTTGAGATACTTCTGTATATGAGGCAACACTGGTATATCTGAGAAAGAGAAGATACAGGCAGACATGAAATTAAAAACACATGTGTACATGTGAGCCTGTGTAACACAAGCTGCCAGCATACTTTACGTTGGCTAGAATAAGGGTCTGGAAAAAGGATAACATTAGTACTTTAAACCAAACACAGCTCCAGAGCAGCAGCCGCCTGAGTGTAGCTAGGAAATAGCTGTGTCTTAGTTTTAAGTACTTAAATGACCAACACCTATTTGAAACATCTGCATATTTTTAAAGAACATGAAAAACAACCGTTTTCCAGTAAGCTGTGGTTGTGTGCTGGAGGACTTTTAAACCCGCTGTATGTAGAATCTTCCTCGAAGGGTATTAGCCAATTTTAAGCAAATATTTGTACTAATTCAAATGACTCACTTCCTGCTCCACTTTTAGTGAATATCAGTTTGAATAAAGCCTTATGGTGGGATTTTTGGTGCTGCAAATGTGCCGGTCCACATACGAGTTTCTGGTTGGACAGGGTTTTCACCTATCCCAGACACGCTCGGGGATGGGAATTCAGACTGCGTATCGCTTAAAGTTGATGATGTAAGCGTGTGCCGAATGTTAATTGGTTGAAAAGAGGGCTGGAGAGAGGGAACAATCAGTTTCACTTCAGCTCTTCGTACGTTATAACTTTTGTGCTTTCTGCGGCTGGCTGATGGACCAACAACAGCACAAGCAAGAGTGGCATGTACCAGACACTTTGTACACTGCCTCCATCTGACAACGGTGCCCTCTGCAGGCAGACGAACAGTCACCGGATGGGACAAACCCTACCCATGTCGGACAAGTCTTGCTTTATTTATCCAACGCTGGTTTTTGATGCAACCACCCCAAATGTAACCACAGTGAAAAACAATCTGCAAACATACACATAAATATACATACTACACCAGCATAGGCATGTATCTGTTGAAGTCTCACCGTAGGTACAGGATCTCTGCAGGTCCGATATGATTCTGAGAATGTTATTCATCAGGTTTGATCTCTGTTCGTTCTCCAGTATGCTGCCCGTGGAGGGGTAGGCTGAATCTATATATGTCAGATCGGAAAGGTACATTCCTAAAAAGGGAGGAAAAAGCAGATAGAAAGAGATGTCTGTTAAATTAAGAGAATCAGAGCACAACTCCCTCATGCACTCATCCTTCAGCGATCCAAGAGCCCCCTGCAAGCCAAACGAGGACAGCGTCCATCTGTTGGAGGTGTTATTTTAACCCTCAGTGGAGAACACAGGGAGTTTTCCTGACCGAACGCAGAGCTCAGCTCATTAGAAAGCAAACATGTAGACACAAACAAGGCTGGACACTGCAACAGAGCCAGATTTCCTTGGGTGCATGATGCAAGTGTCATGCAGCTGTGGGGTTCTTGGAGTCACATTCAGCTGGTAATTGCACACTGCTTGTTTGATATGGCAAAAACAGACAGGAATAAAAACCCTGCAAAACCTAATTTGCATATACTTTGCTCAAGCTTCAAAAAGACTTTTTCCCTCTGATTTTTTTCCCCCAGTGGATCTGAACGAGTGCTCCGAGTAGATCTTCTCTTTAGCCTTTCCAAATCATGGCCATCTCTCTCCCCCCTAACTCTCAGTGCCTATTTCTGGCTGAGATTCTTACTCTCATTAAATAAATATTAACATTAAAAGACAAACCCAGAAGCAGCTTGCCATCAATCTGAAAAGAGTTATTAACAAGTTGAACTGATGGTGCGCATTTCCTTACAGTCCCCTCTTCTTTTCATTTTTCTTGCAGAATGTTTTTTTTTTTTTGGACACGCCAGGGTCGAGATTGGGTGCAGATGTAAGAAAACTTATCACACAGCAGACTACATGACACCCACAACCCTCCCCTCCATGGAAAATGGTGTAATACACATAGCACTGCTGACAGAGAGCCTAAACACACAACGGCAGGAGGAGATCCAACAGATAAAGGAGGTCACACTTTGTTTTTGGGATAACACACACACACAGCTGATTAGAATTAGAGGGAAAGGGTGAGAACAGAAGAAAAAGTTTACAAGTGCTTTTCAACTCAGCAGTGAGTTGGGGAGAAGAGGAGGAAGAGAGAAATCCTAAAGGCTTAACCGCTATAGCTTCTTGTCTGAGAGTATGTCAGGGATAACGGCGGTTAGTCATGCACAAATCCATACTGGAACACGCAGACAGAAGCATGAGTAGAGAAGCTGTGGTTTGCATACACAGGCACTTTGTATATGTTTACTTGCAGCAAAACTTGTACGAGATGGAAATAAATAAATAATCATGGCAAGAAGGCAGAAATTCAATCACAAATCAGGGAGAAAATTCTTCCAAAATGGTTAAGTAAGATCTTTTAAACATTACAGCTTAAACATGTATGAATAACACATTCAAGTAAATCACAATGGTGACAAAAAGCAAGTTAAGTCCAAATAAACTTAGAGTAAACCTGGAGTGACCATTTTGCACCAGTAGTGCCACGAATCATTTCTATCTGCCTGCTTTGGTCTCCGACTCTCACATCCAGCTGTTCTCTACAGGAAGAAGCTCCGAAACCCCAGCAGCATTACAATCAGCTTTTCTCGTTGCTACAGGGAAAAGCAAGAGGAGGGGAACTTCAAGTTGTAATTAAGGATGAAGAGGTCAAAGCAGTCCTGGACTCAGCAAAACACCTGAATTCAAACAGGCCTCGTCTCTTTGCTCCCTTATACAAAAACCACACAGGTCATTGTTAAGGATGGGACATTTAATCAGCAGCTCTGCCATTTTCTTTTTCAGTCTTTTCTTTTCTTTATCACTTATGACATCAGAGGTAGGCTGGGCGACTAAAAAATAAATAAATAAATAAAAGGAGGGAGGAAAAAAAAAAAAAGCAATCTTCAACACCCACACTCTCATCCCTTCTCTTCCTTCTTCCCCTCCCTCTTCTAGTCTCCCCCATGCTTTGTGAAAAACTCAAGGCATCAGTGGTGAGAGCTCAGTCTGTTGAAGTGGCCGGCTTTTGAACCATACCCCAGTCTGAGCACCAGGAAAGTTCACAGGGAGCTTCGGGAAGTAGGGCCTTGACTAAAGCCTTGCATTGTGATTTATTGCTACAGAACAGGAGGAGTGAGTAGAGGAGAGAACCTCTGAAGACTTGGACAAAGAGAGAGACAGAGACATGAGTCCTGCGCACTGCAGCCCGGTGAAGACAGAATATAATATACACGTGACACCATAACTGCAGGAAAACATCCATCTCACTACTGGTAACAAAAAGGTAAACGCTGCTCGAGTTTTATTCTGTTTTCAATTTTGATTTTGGAATCAGTGAGTGTGTGTGTGTCTGTCAGCAAGATGGTGTTTTGTGTGCGTCTGGGCAGCTGTGAGAGCTCTGGCTGAGAGGTTGGAGAGGTTAGGACGTTTCGTGACTGGAGGTTACATCTGCAGACAGAAACATTTAGCAACGCTTCTTTGGCTATCCCCTGGAGTCTGACTGAGAAATACTGTGTACAGCATACTGAGAAGTGTATCGTGTATACATTTAACATATGTAATGTATATGAGGTCAACAAAGAAATCTGGAGAATTTATGAATTTATGATCCTAGTTGTATTAAGGAAGGGCAAAAACAACTGAATTCAGAAAGTACAACTTTTTCTGGTGTGCAGGGCCATGATTTACATCAGTTATGTAAAATGATTTTAAAAAATATACAGTCAATGAGTTGTTTCATCTAGATGTGAGAATGGAGAAACATCCAAGATCTTAAAGTTGCTCTGAAAATGACATTAAACCTTACCTGAGGAGAAAGAAAAAGCCAGAGAGAAGACAAAAAAAGAAAACTGGGACATTCCAGCAAAACACTTGAGGGAGAGTGATCAGCTCAGATGGAGAGATTTGAGCTCTGCTCCTAGGCCTGTTTATTTTTTCTTGGCTTTTGGTTTCCTAATACAGTCTGAACCTGGCTGCTAACAGGGGTACGGGGATGTAGCCGAGTTAACCTGGTGGAAATCGGGGTTAGGCCAATAAGTTCCATCTGTACATTCAGACGTGGTGAGATCTCATCTCGCCTCACAGCCCCTTTTGGAAGGCTTAAAAGTGAGCAGATTGTTTCTATGACAGTTTATAAGCTCCCCGTTCAGGGTCGTGTTAAGGGAAAAGATAAAAATGCAGCGTAAGCCAACCTTAACCACATCCTCTATCAAATACACCCCATGGACATAAGACACTTCAGTCCCAACCTTGTCATGATGGCAAAAGCTTTGAACACTAATAACATCAATATGGTGCTCTTCCATATCAGCAACTCACAATTATCTTCAAATGTTTTTGCTTACGTCCTGGTCTGTTGGTGGTATCTGTGGAAACATTCTGCTCGCTACAAAGCCACATCTGTGAATGCTGTAAAGGTCCGTGAGAGACACGCAGACCTTCAAAAAGCCAGTGTTTGAAGTAAAAGGCAAAATGAGCGATGGCGAAAAGGAAAGAAAACACTGCACGAGCATGCTCATTTTTCCGCTTAGAGTAATAAATCATAATATCGATACCTCTAATAATTCAGGCTGGAAAAATAAGTGGGAGAAGAAAAAAAGATAAAAAAGATAAAGGGGAGGCAGGAACAGCTGTCTGAGAAATATCCAGAACATTCCATGCTGAAGCAACAGCATTCGGCTCTACCTGAACCGTGACTGCACGAAGGACAGGCTTTAAAAACGGGTCATTACTTACAATCCACGCATAAACTAACCATACTCTTAGCCTTCACCTTAAGAGTTTTAAATCACAGCAGAACATCTGTTTGATGTCTTTTCTATTTAAAGTTTGCAAAAGTCCCACGACAAGCCAGTCAGGCAGTGCGTGGCCCATCAGAGTCAGTAACCTGCAGCCCTCCCCACCAGTCCCTTCATAGACTATGCTGTAACTCAGCACGGGACTCATAACTCACCCAGCCAGCACCAACAAACAGCTGCGGTTTTTGGGAAGCAGGCATGCATCCAACCGTATCTTGCATTTTTAACCCGTGTCAATGCTAGTCTCAACTGATTTTATCTGCAAAACGCAGCCAATTAGAGAAGCGGACAAAGATAACATCCTGGATAAAGTCTTATCCAAAAACACTGCTCCTGCATTACTGTGTGCACATGTTAAACCCAACCACAGAACAACAACTCTGACACATTACATATCTCTTAAAACTCAAACCGACATTATGAGCCACACAAACTTTTAGACTTTATAAAGACATACAAAAACTAGTGGAGGATAAAGTCAAGGATAGTCGCAGGAAAGTTTGTTTGAACTGTGAAGCTCATTAATGAGAGCTTGGACACAGCTGAACAGACTGGTCACCGTAGGGAGGAAGAGGTCAGCCAGGAGGTCAGGGTAAATAGACGGGTGAAGTGGAGGCATGTAACTAAGTAGAGCCAGTGGACAACAAGCGTGTAATGCAGTGTGCAAATTTATGTGTTCTTCCTTGTTGATTTAGCTAATAGAAAGCATGTGAAGTCTGAGGTTTGAGTTTAAGGCTAGGTGTGACTCAGAAGAGAAATAAAAACCAAGGAAAAGTATGCACGAGTGGCCAAAGAATGTACTAAATCAGAAATTTTAAACCATCCAGCCAAACAAACATTCATATAAATTCTTTTTTTTTATATATATATATTTTCCCCCTCCTTGCTCTCCTGGATCGCCTGACCTTCCTGAAAGTAATTTTTGCTGCACAAAACCTGAAGCAGCAATCCAGATATTCATTTATTTATCAGTTATCAACCAAAGAGCACGCCAAGGTGAAGCTACAGCTAATCTATCAACCTAGCTAGGTTAATTTTAAATTAATTTTCACCAAGAAACTGGGATTGTTGTGGAGGGTTACATCAATAAACATAAAAGACACAAAATTAATACCAACCTATCGGTGGAGCACACACAGAACAGTCCCAGTTTCTCACGTGACCCATTGAGAAGACAAATTAGCCACGTCTGACTGAGAAAATACACTATACAAAGGAAGATGCAAGTTTATGGTGTCATCAGTTGGTTTTTTCATGCACAAGAATGAATAATGCCAAAATGTGTGTGCGCGTTGTCTATTCTATAGCAG